TTCCTGTGGAGACGGCGGTGCCTTGGGAAGCTGCTTTCTGGGCGGTCCGCCGGGGGCCTCAAACCCTCCTGGAGCTGCCGTGGTCCCAAAAGTGGCAGTGAAAGCTTCCACCTGAAACTGGGCCGCGTGCCCACCCCTCGCCGGTGCAGAGTCGGCCCGAAACAGTTTCCCGGGAGAGGCGTGGGCTTCTCCTTCCAGCCCACAGAAAGGCTGAGCCAAGCTGCTGCTAATGGCCTGGTTCTGGGGCACCCAACGGCTCGGCAGAAGCCCACGGTGTAGGAGCGCTGCCTCCAAAAGAGGGGTCAGCAGGGCCCCCACTGCCAAGTGAAAATGCGTGTTGTCCGTGGGGTGACGATGGAGGCAGTGTCCCTCTGTGTGGAAGCAGGTGACTCCAGGAAGGGAAAAGGGAGCTTTCCAGAGAGTGCTGCTCAAATCACTGTTTCTCCCTCACAGTTTTCTTTCTTTTTTGAGTCATTTGAAACTAGCAATGTCTGTTTAGATAGTCATACAAAACAACTTTCCAGTACTAAAAATAAGATTGCATGTGATTTTTTTTTTTTTTTTTTTAAATAAAAGCTCCCTGGGGCATTTCTAATGTTCTCAAAGTACTCTCAAATCTGTTGGCTTTTCTAGTATAACATTAATGGGAGCTTTGGTCAAGTAGTTTTGGTTCCTTGTTGTGCTTTAAATCCTGTAAAAACAGTCAAGGAGGTAGAGAGGCCGTAGCAGTGGTGCGTTTCAAGCAGTGTTTTCCCTGTTGCCTTACTGACCACCTCCATGCTGTGCTTGTGTGCCCCAGGGTCAACAGCAGCCTGTCCAGCGATGAGCTCCTCCTAGAAGACTTGGAGACAGAAGGAGAGAGGCAGCTGAAGAGCCTCCTTCACCACCAGCTTGATACCACTGTCTCCATCGAGCAGTAAGTCCTGATCTGGCCCCTGTGGGCGGCTGCTGGAGGGGCTGGTGAGTGGAGTCTGGCCATGTTAGGCGCAGCAGCAATGTCGCCTCACTGGGGCCTCTTCCCTGGGGAGATGTTTGGTGCACGCTGTTGTCCTGCCTGGACACCCCAGCAGGAGATAAGCACTTCTTGTCTCCTGGAGCAAATGCTCCAGGTGGTAACTTATTTTCACCCGTTAGGTGAAAAGAATCGATTTGCCTGGGCCAGACACAGGAGTGAGTTTCTAGGCTGGCGAGCATTTGCACCTGCAGGGTGCTTGGTGTTACAGTGTCATGAGCTGCCTCCTGCCTGTGTTGGGGCAGTATCCTGCCCTGTGGGATCTCATGGGCTTGGAAAAGGGTCAGGAGAGCGTAGCTCAATTGTGTTTTGGAAACATGGCATCTCTGCCTATGTGCAGCAGGACCAAGTGTGGTTGGGGGGAGAGGCCAGACCCTTCCTATTCCCCCAGTTTCTCAGTACTAAGTTGTTTCTGCTGTTCTGTTGCTTTGGGTACAGGTGCAAATCAAAGCGGAGATGCTTTGCCCCTGCAGCTTTTTACAAGCCTTTTGGGGAAGAGGCTGCGGGGGCTTTGACCTTGTCGCAGTTCCAGGCCCTGCAGGAGAGCAACAAAGAAACTGCCTCTCTCCGGGAACTGGGGCTCTCCGACTCAGAGATTCTGCTCTGGAAGAACCAGGCTTCAACAGGGAAGGTAGGCATGCTGTGCTCTGATGTGAACGTGGTCAAGTCCCTCTAAACCCATGGCCTGTGGCACCCTGGTAGAAAATTCAAGTCCTTTGTAAACCCTCTGGTAAAGAATGGCTGTTCCATGTATCTCTTGCCTTTAGGGCAGCATGATCCCACATTTCTTCCGGCCTGTTTTCTTTGGTGGAATGGTCTGTGCTAAAAGCTATGGTGGAGAGAAGAGTTGGTCCTTTGGAACATACCAGGGCCTGATTATATTCCTGCTTCTGCCTTGATGGTCTCAAGCAAATAATTTCACCTGTTTATACCTGTATAAGAAGGATTTAAAGGCTGGAGGAGAAAAAGGAGGAAACATTTCAAAGTGCCTCAACCTCATCTTTCTGCATTCTGACACATCCCTGGATCCCATGGCTGGCTTGGGATAGCTGTCTGTAGGGAGGGTTTTCTACATTCTCCTCAGGGCCTTGCAGATGCTTCAAGGGACTTGAAACAGTCACGTAAAAATAGCAGTGCAGAGCTGTTAGACCAAGTGTGTGATTGCAATGACATGCTCTTCTTTGGGTGCAGTTTGCAGCAGAGCAGTGCCAAAGCAGGTTTCTCTCCTTCCCCTACCTTCACCCTTTTCTTTCACTTTCCAGAGACAAGGAGCTTTTGGGGTTGTCCTGTGTCAGGTGCACTGGAGTGTCCTGCTCTTAATTTGGTAAACCAGAAGGTGCAAAACAGGATGTGGGCTGACCCTTGGCTTCCCTCTGTCTCTCCTCCTCTTCCTGAGCAATAGCTGTGTGCAGGAGGAAGCCGTCTGTGGTAATCACGGGTTTGCCTCTCTTCAGCTGAAGTCATTACTTGCTTTGGTGTTTAAATGCAAACCCAGCCCTGGTGTGGCCTGCATTAAAGCTTGGGTTAGAGAGGGGTGGTGTTAATTTAAGAACGAAAATGAATGTCAACAGTACCAGCTGTTGTATTTGGTATGAAATCAGTTCTGGGATGTTTAGAAATAAAGATTAGCATGGAAAACACTACTCTGACAGAAAGAACCAGTGACATTAGGGTACATCATCTCCGGCTTGTGAGAGAAGAAGAATATTTAGAGAGAAAGCCCAGGTCAGGTAGCAATGTGCAGCTTTGTATCTAGAGGCCCCAAGGGAAAGATTCCACCAAGGAGGAATCAGCTGAGACAGAGAGGAGTTCACATTTCCTGTGGAGCTCTCAGCAAAGTACTGAGTGCAGGCTTCTGTTATTTTCAGCTGCTAAGTTGCATCTTTTTTGAAAACAAAGTACTACAAATGATTTCCCGGAATTGCTTTTCATATATATATATGAATGGAATATATTTATATATATATATGAATGTATATATATGTATGTATATGTATATGTGTGTATATATATATGTATGTATATAAATGTGTGTATATATATACACAGCCTTTTGTGCCCCAGGGAAGCTGTGAAACGGTGAATGGAAGCCATGCAGATGTAAGCCCATGCAGTCAGGCAGGAAGGGAGAGGTACCCATGGGAAAGTCTTTGTTAGATTGGGCTCAGTGCAGGGAGAAAGCCTGGTTTCTTGCCTGAGGCAGAAGGATCTGCCACAGTAATTCTTGAACTGAATTTGAGAAGAGAAAATCCACCTACAGCCCCATAAAAGCATGTTCTCTGGATTCTGATAGAGGTGGATGGGGGAACAGAAATGCCCCTCCAGAAGTTGGGGTATGGCTCTGTGCTTTGGCAGCACGAGTCTGGTGAATCTTAGCAGTGCCCTGGCCCTGTGCAGTGAGGCTTATTTATACAGGAATGCTTGCTTGTAGCCAGTTTAGCTACGAGGTCTGTGCTGCAGTAGCTGGGTGGTTTCTGGGAGCTGGCTCATGTGAAACCGGTCAGGGGTTTAGTCCTCAGCATAAACCTACCCTCGGGTGCCAAACAGCATCTTGGGGTTCACTTTTCAGCAAATAAGGTTCTGTCAGTGATGCCAGGGACATAGATGAAAAGCTTGGTGGAAACTTGAGCTCAGGGATGCTATAGGCGTGGCAAAAGAAATGCCAAAGGGGGTTTGTGGAGTTACTGTAGGTGGCCTTAGAAAATGGCTATAGCTGGCAGAGGCAGGGACTGCTGGGACAGAGGGACGCAGGCACCATCAGACAGTGAGGCCAGGGGAAGGAAAGCAGCACAGAAAGGTCAGGAGAAAGGGGCTGTTTCTCCACTTCTCTCAAGAACTGAGGCTTGCTGAGTGGTTGTATTTCTGTCCTGCCCTTGCAGTAACAGGACATCTTGGTGACTTCCTCTTTGGGGTATGGTTCCTAGTTGCACCCACTCCAGGGCTGGAGGATGTGAAGTTTGACTGCTGGCCAAGTCTCCGAAAGGGAGGCATGTGCCATATCTGAGCAAAGCTGTGCCTGTCTTCCAGGGCTCTGGGCTGGGAGCAGCCCCAGAGGCCACGCAGGACCGACTCCATGCCATCCAGGAGAAGATGGAAGAGCGTCAGCGCATACTTGCTCTGCCCCAGAGGTTTGCTGGCAGCAAGCAGCTGAGCCGGCGGGAGATGGAGATTGAAAACGCCCTCTTTCAGGGGACAGACCGCCACTCCTTCCTCCGGGCGCTCTACCACCAAGGTTTGTGGGCTCAAGGCTGTTCCTGCCTTTGCTCCAGCACGGAGAGCTAGGGTGTGTGGGAGTCCAACACATTTCTGTCTGGCCTTCTGTCCCTGAAGACATGATTCCGTTTTGGCACTGTGTGGGAGGAGATGTTTTCCTCTCTTACATGAGCAGATAGAGAGTGGGCTCTGAAGGGTTTAATAGGCTTGTAGAGTCTTGTAAGGCTTTAATAGGCTTGTAAAGTCCATCTCTGTTTGGAGAGCATGGATCTCATTGACGTGCTGCATGTACTGCAGAGCCCAGCTTGTTATGTTGGAAGAGCAGCCGGCGTTATGCTTTGGTAGAGCCCAGAGGTCCCCACTGAGTTGCACTGAGTGACATGAGGTGCCTGTGTGGGGCTAGAGATCATCCCTTCTCTGATTTAACTGCAGTCTAACAAGGGTGGGAGGGAAGCAAAGGCACAGAGCAGGAAAGAGTAGGAGTGACTTGTTAAAGGCCCCACCAAGTAGCTGAAGTGGAAATGGAGCCCAGCTGCTGATTCCCAGTACCGTGTCCATGGAATGACAGCACTTCTCGCCCCAGCAGTGTAGTCCCCAAGCCTCTGGCTTAATGTGACTTTTCTGGATGGAGAGTCAAGTGTTGTCCAGAGATGGCAAAAACTGCTCCAATCTGCTTTAGCTGGAGAACATGCAGGCATAAAGCTCTAGCCCAGACTGATTTTTGTATGTAAGACTATTAAATAGAAGATGAGGAGGAACTTCTAAACACCAACTCCTAACTCTGAAAACACCACTCTGATCAGTGTTGATGCTGTTCAAGCTATGATGTCCAGCTGACCCAGCGTCCTCTGGCCCCTGCTCCCTCCTTTGGTGTCAGTGTTACGGCCTTTAGCAAACCCAAGAGGCAGCAAGGTTGAGGCTTGTAAGCTGGGAGATGCCCCTCTTACTTCTGTCCTCATTTCCATTAAATAGAGTAAAGGAGATATCATTGGTCAGTCCATGCCAAGGACCGTCTTTAAACCCAGGAGCTTAATCTGATGTCCCTGGAAGCAAAAAGTTTATATTCCATGTAGCAGTGTAGAAAGGCAGCATGGCACATCCTGGCCATGCACGCAGGAGGAGAAAGGTGTGTTGAAGGAGTCACTAGAATGTGCTGAAATGTGGCTGCAGATAAGCTCGTGAGGACATCTCTGGAAGAAATGAGCTCTGTACAGAGCACTGGTGAAGCTGCTGCTCTGTGCATGTTCATCCTGAGCTGGGACATCAGCACTTGCTGGCTGCTGGGGCTACTCTTCTTGTTTTAAATAACCTGCAGGGCCTGCCTGGCAGATGCGTGGAGGCTGGGTCAGAACAGGGTTTCTCCTGTCTGTGTCTCTTCCTGCAATCTGTGCATTTTCCAGGTTCTTGGTGGTAGTCACATTACCATGTTTCTCCGTTGTGGATTAGATGACACTCAGAAGAGGGTAACAGATGAAAAGGACCCCATGGTTCATCTGGAGAGTGTTTACCAAGAGCTGCTGAGCAAGAAGTGGCCTGAAGAAGTCCAGCCTACCAAGAGTGACCCATGCTTGTACCCTTCCCTGGCCCTGCAGGGACCTGTGGCTGAGGAGTCATCACTTCCAGACCAGGAAAAGCAGGCAGAACAGGCAAGAAGTCCCAGCCTTCCTGCAACAATGCCCCACCAGTCCCCTCCAAGGCTTGTGATTATCAAAGAGCCTGTAGAGTTTGTCCCTGAAGAGGAGATCTGCAAGAACCGTCTCTCAGAGGAAGAACTCCGGAATATACCCAGGTTCTCATCCTACCATCCTGGGGAGCCCAACAAGGTATGTTGAGATGAACCAGGATTTATTCTTCTTCCTCACTAGCATGCCCTGAAGCTGCTTCAGCAGGCAGAAGCTCCTCTTTGCTATGGACTGGCTGTTGCCTGGAGGGTGCTTGGTTGATCCTCGTGGCCAAGTGAGAGCAGCCTCCACTCTGGGAGGGAAGGGGACCTTTGGATCTATTGGGAAGTCGCCCGACCTGGCAAAGAGCTGTACTTCAGACCCCAGCCCTTCCTGGCTCTGGCAGGTCACTAGTCAAGATGCCCTCTCCCTGTTTCAGCCTGACAGACTAGCTGTGATTTTACTCAACTGTGCTTAACTGGTAGCTGGAGCTTGTTGTGTTTTATAAATAACTGGAGCTATCAGCACTTGGCACAGGCAAGCATGATGATGCCTTGAGTCCAGAGCTGCCTTTCTCTGTATGCCCACCTGTCTTCCAAACTCCACCGTGTGGGAGAAGGACTGTGGGATGGCAGAGGGACTGAACTCATTCATACCTTTGAGGTGTATGGACTTGGGACCAGGTTGAAAGGTGTCTGTTTGCATGGCACAGGCCAGCTGACCCTCTGTCTCTCTGGAACAGGTGTTGTATTTGAAGAACCTGGGCCCTCGAGTGATGATGAAGGACCTAGTGTCCTTGTTTGCTCGGTTCCAGAAGGAGGACAGCCCACCGATCCAGTTCCGCCTCCTGAGTGGCCGGATGAGGGGTCAGGCTTTCATCACCTTCCCTGGTGAGTCGCTGCCTTGTGCCTCTCAGTTCTTCCCTGACCCATGAAGGTGCCACATCTTCCTGCAGGGCACTGGGCTGGTGCCAAGCTGCTCTCCAAGGAGAAGAAGGGAAGTTCGTTCCCTCTTCTTCCTATCATGTCATAGTCTTTTCCCTGGACTGGAGGAAGATTCACTGAAACAGAAGGGATGCAGTGTGTTACGTGCCGTATTTATATTCAGCACATCACTGGCTGGAGGATCCCAGCGCCACACTGGATCGTGGTGCAGGCTAAGGGTCCGTGAGCCAGGAACATCTGTGTGAACACCACATGTGTCTGTGCCAGAACTTGCCGTGTAACCTGTACCCATTTTGCTCTCTTGTTGCAGATACTCAGTTGGCCCAGGACGCCATGCTGTTGGTGAACGGGTACAATCTGCAGGGGAAGCCGCTGGTGATTGAATTTGGGAAAAGCAAGGGGCATTTGCCAGAGGCTGACTCTGCCATCCCCTGCTCCTCTGCTGGAGAGAACCCCCCTGCCAAGTAAGGGATGGATAATGGGGAACCTTGTGGATTTGCATGGGCCGTGGGAACTCCTTGGTCGTAACTGGGACAATGAAGGACTGTTGGGAGTTAACATGCAGTTCCATAAATCTCAAAGTGGGGAAGGAAGAGAACTGGGGGGACTAGGCTCTTCCTTGAGAGAGATGGGCACTGTCTTTACACTGTTGGGGTGTACTGGCTTTTTCCTCCTGTTCTATATGCGTGTCTGCCTTCTCAGCCCTTTGTGGCAAGGAGGGAGGGAGGAAACCATGTAAATAAATATATTTATTATGGTATTTCCTTAGTGTGTGTTTATTCACCTTTGCGCTGCACAAATCTAGAGCCAAGTGTGCTGCACTCTGCTGATGCAGGACTGTGTCAGCAGAGTTCAGTCCTGGCCTCTGTGCTGGGAGCTGGAGTACCTGACTGATGGGGGGACTGGTGGGGCTGCTGCCCTGTCTCTGGTGGCAGCAGATATGTTGCTTTAGGACGAGAAAAAAGGCTGTCCCTTTTCCTCCAGACACTTTGGCTGCACAGGTATCTAATTACACAGGTGCTTTATGATCGCAAATACATCTTGACTCCTCACTATTGATCCCGATAAAACCCTGTGGCATGGAGGATGGTTGCTCTGGTGGGGTACCATTGTGGCAGACGCCGTGGTTTATCTGCTGACCTGTTTTAGTGCTTTCTGTGAATGAGGCAAGCTAATGTCATATGCTTCTCACAGTAACCCAGTGCTCCTGGGAGAGCAACATCCAAGCTCTTGGTGATGGTGGCTGAGGGAACCCAGGCTTTCCCAGCAGAGCCGAGTTGCAGGCTTCCTCTGTGTACCTAAATACAGCCATGCGGAGAAGAGGAATGTTCCCAAGAGCTGTTGTTTTTCTCGCTGTTGCCATCTCCTCCTCCAGGCTGCATGACTCCCCTTACAACTGTCCTTCTGGTAAATGCACTTGCAACAACACACAGATACACCAATCTGGCCAAGGCTGCACCGGATCTACAAGGAAGTAATTCTGGTTCAGAGCAAACTGAAAAATTGAAAGAGAAAAGGGGCTGTGGTGTTGCTGAGCGCCAGCTTTGCCCTGGTGCTGGCAGGCTTTGCCCTGTCCAAGCTCCAGAGGAGCCAGTGTCACTGCGGGGTTGTTCTGGGCCCCAGTGCCCCAGAGCTGTAAACAGACCACACTCTGCCTGCCCTGTCCCTGCAGGAGAGCGGGGCCATGGCAGAGGTAGGCCCCTGGAGCTGCTTTCAACCCCATCCCCAGGAGAGTTGCCCAGGCCTATCTGGACTCATGCACCCCTGGAGGTCCGTGCCCTGGGCTGAGGCTGCTGCCGGCCACCTGCCCATGCTGGGGTTTGCTGGCACAACCCCTGCAAGCCCAGCCTGAGTAGCGGGACCGCTGCCGGCCTCTGGTTTCTGGCACCTTCACCCCCTGAGGGGAGAGGCTGGGGCCTCCCCACGCTGTTCCCCCGGTGCTGCCAGCTCGCCCCAGCTGCGGCTCGGCACCGGGTGCCGCCATTTTCTTGCTCGG